TCAGGACATGCCCTTCCATGAGCAGATTCCTCATTTTTCAGAGGATCCCTCGTGGATTCTGAGCTGGGCAATTCTCCAGATCAGATTCCTTCATCTGCATTTCCCTGTAACTCCCCCTAAAAAAGCACTTTGAGCCTAAAAAACCTGAAATTTGATAGAGCTCTTTAGCTTGGAGCAGGAATAGGAAAAAAAATCGCTCCTAGAAGAAAAATTTCTGAGTATTTAAAAAAAAAAATTAATTATAAAACAGCTTAAAGCAAGTCCATGACACCCTGCTTTTATTACTGCCTTTGCAAAACAAAGTTGATTCTTTCTTAAAAAGTGATGTAAAAGATTTTTATATCTATTTTTATATATTTCTGTATATATTTTTATATATTTCTGATAATTTCTATAGTACAGACTTGCAAATCGTCCATTTTTCCTGGCAAAATCGGCGTTTAAAGCGTTTCCAAAGCTTTAAAACCCTCCTCAACATACAAAAATAAATATTGCATCCGTGATTTCCGGGCACCCAAACACAGCTGGAGCTGGGAGCAGCCCAAATCCCATAAAAATAAAACAACAGGAGTTATCCAGGATCAGTTTTTTCTCTCTCAGATTGGGAGGTTTGGGGTTAAAATGAGAAAATATTGGAAATATTCCCCCTAAACCAGCTCTTCATCCTCCTCCCTGCTCGCAGCTGAGGGATGTGGATCTCAGATCCTCCTGGAATGAGGATTTTGGGRATTTTTCAGATTCAGTTTTTCAATTCCAGCGGTTTTCTGCTGGATCCGCTGCCTCYTCCCCTCCAAGCGCTGCTTCCTCGCTGCCAATTCCTGCCCCATCCCGGGATTGCTGCAGATTCTGTGTTAATTAGCGCGTGTTAATGAGCTGGCGGGGTTAATGAGCTGGGGAGTGACACTCCCCAGGGGTGAGCGGTGACGCGACACTTTGACACCATTTCTTCACCCAGATAATCCAGATTTGATCAAAATTAGGCCGGGCTTTGCGGCTGCTCCAGCCTAAGAGGTTATTCCAGCCTAAACAATCCCGTGCTTAGCGCAGGATTCTGGGAATTCTTTCTGGGAATTCTTTCTGGGAATTCTTTCTGGGAATTCTTTCTGGGAATTCTTTCCAGGAATTCCAGGAGAGACGCGGGATTGTCGCTCCCTTCGGCTGCATCCCCATCCCAAACTCGGGATTCTCCAAATTCCAGGAGGAAATGCGGGTGCCGGGGGTGGCTCAGCTGTCGCTGTCGCTGTCACCCTGAGCAGCCCCAGCGATGTCCCCAAGGAGGAGGGGACAGCGCGCTCGCGGAATTCCAAATTCGCGGAGGGAATTGCGCGCAGAGGCGGCTCAGCCGTCCCAGGGTGGCACCGCCGCTGTCGCTGTCGCTGTCACCGTGAGCAGCCCCAGCGATGTCCCCAAGGAGGAGGGGACAGCACCCATGGAATTCCGAACTCCGGAGGGAATTGCGCCTCTCAGACGGCTCAGCCATCCCAGGGTGGCACCGCCGCTGTCGCTGTCCCCGTCGCTGTCACCGTGAGCAGCCCCAGCGATGTCCCCAAGGAGGAGGGGACAGCACCCATGGAATTCCGAACTCGCGGAGGGAATTGCGCCTCTCGGGGCACTCAGCCATCCCAGGGTGGCACCGCTGCTGTCGCTGTCGCTGTCGCTGTCACCGTGAGCAGCCCCAGCGATGTCCCCAAGGAGGAGGGAATTCCGCTCGCGGAATTGCGAACTCGCGGAGGGAATTGCGCGCAGAGGTGGCTCAGCCATCCCAGGGTGGCACCGCCGCTGTCGCTGTCGCTGTCCCCGTGGCTGTCGCCGCCAGCCAGCGCTGTGCCAGCAGCCCCAGGCACAGCCCCAGCGGTGTCCCCAGGCCGGGAGGGGACAGTGGCGGTGTCCCCCCGTTGAGCGGGGACAGCGTGGAGAACACGGCGTCCGTGGCGTTGCGCGGCAGGGGCAGGTTGCAGATGCTGCCCTCGCAGCACGAGGTGCACACCTGGGGACRGAGCGGGGACAGGAGCGTTAACCCTTCGAAACCCTCGGGCATTTTCCCTCCTCCCCCTTTTTATTTTTTAATCCACCTGCTGGAAGAACAATTTTTTCTCCCCCTTTTTATTCCCTCCCTTTATTTTTTTTCTTCCTTTTTTCCCCCCTCACTTTAGTTTTTTTCTCCTATTTTTACCCATCCCAAGTGAAACTCCATTTCTGATGCTGATTTACCCACTGAACCAGCCAGACTTCTGGCAGAGTCCAAGAATTATATCAATGATATATAATGAATATAATATATAATAAATAATGTATATAAATATAATAAATAATGTATATATTATATAACTATATAATTATATATCCATTATATATAATGTGCATTGTATATTACACATTGTATATTACACACTACATATTATTTATAAGATATTCGATATCTATGGTATATGTCATAAAATACATGCTATATATAATGTACATAATATATCCCATACTATATTTTATTTATAGTACACATTCTATATATTGTATATTATTTATTTTTATGTTATATATATAATATATTGTAGATATAAAGATATATTCTGCAACATATTATATATATTTTATAATACATATTATATTTATTTTATAATACATATTATATATAATTCAAATTATAGTGTCTATAATACTTATACCATAGTTACTATGTACTATATGCAATATATAGTATATTATATATTATTAGATATTCTACATTGTATATACAGTATGATATAGTGTGTATCTAATAGATATTTATAATATACATTATATATTTTTAGATATATTATTCTATGGTATAGAATATATAGAGTATCTTACATATTGAATATTGGATACAATATACATTCCACAACAATATATAATTGTATATATAGTATATATTCTATATATATGTAYAGAGAATATATATTTTATATATGWCATTAGATATGTTAAAATATGGTAGAATATATTGTCTATATTATAAACATATATAGTATTCATTTTACATATTAGATAATACAGATATTATATATATACATCATAGTGTATATAGTATATACAGTATATCATATCWTACTTAATACATTGTACATATTATATAAAGTATTATATATAGAAAAATGTAATTGTATATTATATATARTATCATTATATATTATATAATATACATAATAGATACTATATTGAATATTTTAAAACATATTGTATATAATATATAGTATATATTTAAAAATATGTAAATATATAAGTATGCATATAATATATACTTATATATAGGTATAGATATACTCATATATAATTATGTGTTTTATAGATATATATTTTAAAAACATATAAATATGAGTATATTGTAYATTTTAAAAAATACATTGTACATTGAATAGATTATATAATACACATTATGCATGATAGATATGATATACCATATTATATATCATATATGCTATATACTGCTCATTATTACATATGATATTACATAATATACTGTTAAATATAAAATATTTATAATATAACCCAAAATTTGCATAATTTTTAAATTCTAACCCAAGTTTTCCCCCACCTTGTACTCCTCGTGCCTGATGTAGGTGCAGCCCGTGCTCAGACACTCCTCCAGGGCCACGCAGCGTTTGGTCACCGACACRCTCTCCCCGCTGGCCTTCATCATGTGCTGGCTGAAGCAGTACCTCGTCCCTAAAAAACACAAAAAAATTTTTATTCAACCAATTCCCATCTCCTGAGAGCCTACCCGCTGGAAGAAATGCAAAAAAAGTCCTGGATTTTTGTCAAATCTCAGAGTTTTATTTTAAAAATTTGATTTTTTAAATGTTTTTAAGTATAATGTCACCAAATGTTTGCTCCCAATCTCTGGTGGGATCCTGAGGATTCAAATTGCTCCAGAATTTGGGGATTTGTTCCTAAATGTGGGTCTGTGTTAAAGTTGTGCCCACCCACGGGATCATCCAGCTACAGAGTGAGGTTTGGATGAACACCCCAAACCTTGTGCACTCTGAGTTTTACAGGCATTATCTCTAAAAAAAAAAAGAAATATTCACAATCCCTGTTTATTTCATGTGTGTAGGTGGGTAAAGATTATATAATACACAATAAAAATACTTTAAAATATTATTATATATATTTTACCCCCCTGAATTACTCAGTTTATGTATTTCTCAGTTTCCAGGCTTTGGAAAAAAACAGCAAAACATGGGATGTGTCCCTGTATTCCCATCACATCTTCTGCACGTTCCCAAGAGACCCCATCCTCCTTTTCCTCTTTTTTTTTTAAAGCTGCTCCTCATCTGCAAATCCCACCAAAAACTCACAGCAGAATGACTGACAAAATAAGGATTTACAGGGAATTCCACAAGGAATTCGGATTTATTCCCTGCTTTATTCACCAGAGRGAAGCTGAAGGTGCATCCTCCAAGCACCCCAAAATCARATATATTTATGTATTTATATTTATTTTCTAAATTCTACCTTGCTTCTTATTATTCCAGCTTATTAAGAATAAAATTCCTGCTTTCACAAATGGAAAAAGTAGGAAAAAGGAGATTTCCATCAGTTTTTCAGCTTCTCCTGCCCTAAAGCTCAAGGTTATCCCAAAGGGAAGCACCCCCTGTGAAACATCTCTGAGGATTTTGCTGGAAGTGCCATTCCCAGTTTTACTTTAAAAATATTTATTATTTTTTAAAAAATATTTATTAAAAATATTTATTATTTTAAAATCTGGGTTTGATCTTTCCTGCTCAGGCCGATCCCACATGGAACAAATAAAGTTTCCAACACCCCATAACTCTTTTAAGGYTGTTTTATTCCTTCTTCCTTTCTTTTGTTTAGAAAATATTGTGAAATCCTTCCAGAGAGATGGATTTTCTGGGCAGAGGAAGCCCCAAGCATGGATGGCTCTCACCTCCTGCAAGGCCACGCACTAAATCCCAACCAAGGAATAAAATCCACACCCTCTCCTCCTGGGAAAACAGAAAATGTCCCAAAATATCAATCTCATCCAGCCCGGTGGGTTTTATTGCTGCTGGTGCTGATTTTAGCCCAGAGGAAGCAAATTCTGGGGCTGATAACGGGTTTGGACACAGCCTGCAAACACTGTGGGCTCATCCTCCTTCCAAACAAAATATTTTCCCAAGGTGAAATCCCAAAACAACACAATTAAGTGGGGTTCAGCAGGGCTGTGGGTAATTTTGATGTTTTGTGAGTGTTTTAGAGGAAAAGTGGGGAAGGAGGGGGAGATCTGGGGATCTCAGCAATGCCTGGATCTGATATTCCAGGGTTTGCATTCCAAGGTTTGTATTCCAGGATTTTGTTCTAGGGTTTGCATTCTAGGGTTTGCATTCCAGGGTATGTATTCCAGGATTTTATTCTAGGGTTTGTATCCCAGGGTTTGTGTTCTAGATTTTGTATCCCAGGGTTTGTATTCCAGGGTTTTATTCTAGGTTTTGTATTCCAGGATTTTATTCTAGGGTTTGCATTCCTGGGTTTGTATTCCTGGGTTTTTCTGGGCTGTTCCCAACTTCAGACTCCAAAGGGAGTTTTGGGATCAAACCACTGAAAATATSAAAATTCCAGCCTCGGCTGCCTTAAATAGGAATAGCAGGAAGGAGAAATAAAACAGCCTGAAAAGATTTAGGGGATGTTGGAAGCTTTGTTTATCCCGGGTGGATTTGTGCTGTAGGGGAGGGAAGAGGACACAGCCAGAAAGAGAAATAAAACTCTTAAAAATCCTTCCCTGGGAGGGTGAGGAGGAGTGGGGATGGATTCCCAGAGAAGCTGTGGGTGTCCCTGGATCCCTGGGAATGTCCAAGGCCAGACTGGAGCACCCTGGAATGGTGGGAGATGTCCCTGCCCATGGAATGGGATGAGTTTTAGGGTCCCTTCCAACCCAAAACACTCTGGGATTCCATGAAAGGATCATCAGCCAGATTTAATCCCCAGCTGAGCCAGAGGAAAACAGGGAAATGATCAAAGTCCCCAACCTCACCCACAGCAGGGAGACGGAAAATCTTATAAAGGATTTTATTCCCACCACCCACACGTCTCCCTTTTTGGGAAGAGTTACAAACAGGAGCAGCAACCACCAGAATCCTAATATTCCACAGCTCTGGGAAAAATGAGAATTCCCAAAGAATTTCCCTGGCAGGGATGGGATGGGATGAAATCCTGGGATGGGGTCAGTTACCTCGGGGACAGTAAACGTCCGGAGCCCAGCGGTTGCACTCGTAGTTATCCGAGGCTTTTTCACAAGTAAAGCACTTAAATCCATGAGGATACGGTGTGGCTGAAAAAAATAGGAAATGTGGAGTCAAAGGAATGGAAAACATGGAGTTAAAAGGGACGGATAATATGGAGTTTAAAGGAATGGGAAATATGGGGTTAAAAGGGATGGATGATGGAGTTAAAAGAGATGGACAATATGGAGTTTAAAGAAATGGACAATATGGGGCTGAAAAGAATGGATGATGGAGTTAAAAGGGACGGACAACATGGAGTTAAAAAGAATGGATAATGGAGTTAAAAGGATGGATAATGGAGTTGAAATGAATGAGAAATACGGAGTGTGAAGGGATGGACAATATGGGGTTAAAAGAAATGGACAATATGGAGTCTAAATGAATGGATAATGGAGTTAAATGGAATAGGAAATATGGGGTTAAAAGGGATGGATGATGGAGTTAAAATGGGAAATATGGAGTTAAAATGAATGGATAATATGGAGTTTAAAAGGATGGACAATATGGAGTTAAAAAGAATGGATAATGGAGTTAAAAGGATGGATAATGGAGTTGAAATTAATGAGAAATACTGAGTTTAAAGGAATGGACAATAGGGACTCACTGGATTGGGGAAGGTCACTCACTGGAGGGGGGGAGGTCACTCATGGGAGGGGTGGTCACTTACTGGACAGGAGGAGATCACTCATGGAGGGTGGCAGTCACTGGAGCGTTGGTGGTCACTCATGGGAAGGGGGATGGTCATTCATGGGATGGGGGTGTCACTCACAGGAGGGGTGGTGGTCATTCATGGAAGGGAAGAGGTCATTCACGGGAAGGGAGATGGTCACTCATGGGATGGGGGACAGTGACGCACAGGAGGGGTGGCGGTCACTCACGGGAGGAGGAGCGGTCACTTACTGGAGGGGTGGTGGTCACTCACAGGAAGGGGGGTGGTCACGCACGGGAGGGGTGGTGGTCACTCACAGGATGGGGTGGTGGTCACTCACAGAATGGGGTGGTGGTCACTCACAGGAGGAGGAGCAGTCACTTACTGGACGGGTGGAGGTAGACGATGTCCTTGGCGCTGAAGTCACGGCTCCGTGTGGCCGGAGCGTGGCCGGCCAGCAGCAGCAGCAGCAGGGACAGGGACAGGGACAGCAGCAGCCCCGGTGGCCAGGCCATGGCCCGGCCAGGACGCGCTCATGCGGYGGCCGAGGATCCCCACCTGGGCAGGGCACAGAACCCCAGCATTAACCAGGCTGGACTTTGGACATCTTTGGATCCCACCCCTGACCGACCCCACCTCGTCACCCAAACCACGGCGCCGAGTGCCACATCCAGAGGGTTTTTCCCTAAAATCCTCCAGGGTTGGTGACTCCAGCACCTCCCTGGGCAGCCCATCCCAGTGTCCCAACCCCATTTGTGGGAAGAACCAGCAGAGAACAAAAGTGAGCGGAGCAAACCCCCCAGGACCTGGCCAGCACCGTCACCCAACCCCTGAGCCTCCAGCACTGGGGTCATTTTGACATCAACAGCCCTGGAAAAGACCTGGACAAACGATCTCCCTGCATTTCCAACTCAGAGGAAATTATCTGATCCCTCAGGATTTCAGTTTCTCTATTCCCATGTCTCCGTACCCCTGTAATTCTTCAGTGTTTAACTCCAGACTCCACAGACAGTGCTGAGCTCCTGCTCTTCCATTTTTACACAAAACAATTCCTCTGCAGCCCCAAACTCAAGGACACCTCCCTGTGCCAGGCCCCAAGAGATGGAAACAACAGAGAATTGGGGGAGCCAACTTGGAGTGAATGACTGCATTGGCTGAGCTGCAATTGGAGGATTCAGCAAAACCCGATGTGCAAAAAGTGAGAAAGGGTGAAAAACCCGTGAGCCATTGTCCTTTGTGGGTGTGGGACTGCCCTGGATCGCCCTGAAGGCCCTGCCATGAACAGAACTGCTCTGGATTCTCTGAATTCTGTCTGGGCTCTGGTTTAGGTAAGCCTGGATTTGGCATCACCATATGGGAATGCTGACCCTCATCGCAGCCTTCCTCCTGACTCCTCCTCGCTGCCTGCATCACATCTCCAAGATCCTGTCAGGTACCCACTGATTTCATCTCGGCATTTCCTCTTGGAAAATCCTCCATCTCAGAACTGCAAACAAAGTGACCGTTGCATTTTCCTCATTTGTGCTCCAAAGGGATTTATTCCCTTTGTGATGCTGTTAATAAACAATTTGGTGCATTTTTCCAGAATCCCTGATTGATACCAAATCCCTGATTGATACCAAATACCCACTGTGGTACCAATCCTGAGAGCATCCCAAACCCTGCACCAGGAGCAGCCAAGTCTAACACATTGGCCATCATTAATTTACATTTTTAATTTCATTAAATTACATCATTTACACCATTAATTTATATTAATGTACATTAATTCCCATTTAATTGTCATTAAACACACAGCTCGGATTATTATAAACCCTTAAACATTATGGAAGTGCCTCAAAATTCGAACGGGATGGGAAAATCCCAGATGCAGGTGCTGATCCAGGCAGGAGCCCACTGTTTCCTCTGGAATTCATCCAGAACACACACACAGAGCTGGGATGGGGTTTTTTTCCACCCAAATCAACCAAGAGATCTGCAACACCCAGATATTTCCTGAGCGACTTTGAATACGTGGCAGTTATTATTCAAAAAATATTTTTTGTTTGATTTTGGCTTTTTTTTTTTTTTTCAGGAAAGATGTGCCAGGATGGGCATGTCACATCCAAATATTTGTCCCACAAAAATCCACCCAGAAAAAAAGCAGCACAAAGTCATTGCCCTCGCTGTTATCTGCCAACAGCTTTTTCATTAAAACACAGCAAAATCCGTAAAAACAAAGGGGAAAAAAGATAACGCACAGCCCTGTGCTTTGAAGTGTGTTGGTTTAACCTCAGGATAATTCCAATTTCCATTGGATTGACTCCATGGATGCCTGTCAGCCAGAGGAGAACAAAATCCTGGTTAGAAACAGACAGGAAATAAAACAAACCCCTCCCAACCACGTGGGAGATGAAAGAAATGGATCCACGTGGGATTTGGGGTAAAAATCCCCAACCAAGAGACATCAGAGCCCACCTGGGTGAGAGAGACTGGGAAAGACATGAGATTTCCTCTTCACACTGCTGAGATAAATGTTAGAAGAGGTTTGGGAATATTTTTTTAATCCCAAAAACCACCAGGCAGGTTTTA